ATCCAGGTTGCAGAAGGCGATGCTGGTGATGTGCTCCTGGAGCGCAGCAACATCCACCTCCCGGGCCACCCGCTCCACGTCGATGGCACTGAGGCGATGCCAGTCAATGCCGATGTGGCGGCGCTGGAAGTGGAAGGGGTGGATGTCCACCGGGATGGTGAGCCCTGGGAATGCCCCCAGCATCCCTGCAGCCCCGGGTGCAAGCTGGTGCAGTGGGTGGTAAAAGCCTGCAGAAAAGGGCTGGAAGGCAAAAGGTGTGTGTTAGGGCTGTCTCTGCAGCCATCCTCCAGTTCCACTGCAGCCCCTGCCAGCCTGCATGCACTGCGGGTTTTGGGGAGCGAGTCAGAGCTTATCTTGTGTGGCAGCAAACAAAACCCCTTCCTTTTCCTTCCCCTTCCAGAACTGCTATCTACTGTTTTGCCAAATTCTGCAAAAAAAATTCTTTAAAAAAAAGCTGCCAATTTTGTTCACCATCTGCTTTTGGTAAGGCAAAAAATGTTAATATTGGAAATCTTTTCAATAACCCATTCTGAATGAATGCGTAAATCCCTCCAGAGTGTACCCGTTTTAGTGAAACAGAATTATGCTGTTTTGAAAAAATACACAGAAAAAAATGGATATGCTTTAATATCAGAGTCTGCCCTGCTCTGACCGAAACCTAGATCACTTCTAGAACTTGTGTTTGCTCACTTTCCTAGCTGTGTCCTAAATGATAACTAAACAAATATAGTTCAAATACATAGTTTTAAATCTGTGAAACAGACCTATATTGTCCTTAGTCTCTAGCTAGGGATTTGCTGCTGTCCCATGTAACAATTTCCATTCTGCTACACCCATCTGCCACCTTTCAGATACCTCATTTTTTAAAAATGCTCTTTGCTGAAAGGCCACTTACCATATTTTTGGATGCGGATTGGGCTCCCACACCGGCTGAGTGCCCCGGGATGTGGGGCAGAGCTGCCAACGCGTGTTGCTGGGTGTGCTGTGTACTCTGGTAACGTGACTCCCAGCCCGCCCGCTGCCCTGCACACGCCTGTGCCTCCTGCCAGCCCGCAGCTCCCGTGCTCCCAAGATGGGACAAACAGTGTCACGCTACCCAGGGAGACACTGAGTAACTGTGTGCACAGTGCAAAAAACCCAAGCTTTCCTAGGATCTCCTTTGCTAAATCAGAGGAAGAATTAGCAGGGGTTATCACCGCCTATTTGCAGCAGAAAAGTACAAAACCCAACTTTTGAGTCCTAAATTTAAGTCCCCAATATGCTGCTTGCAAGTGGGAGGCTCCAAGGCTCCCACTTGCATTTCTCCAAGGCTCAGTCCCACCAGGCACAAAGGGTGATGGTGACACGATGACACAGAATCACAGAATGTGTTGGGCTGGAAGGGACCTTTAAAGGTCATCTAGTCCAATCCCCCTGCAGTGAGCAGGAACATCTTTAACTAGATCAGGTTGCTCAGAGCTCCATCAAGCCTGACCTTGATGCCCCAGGGATGGGGCATCTACAATCTCTCTGGGCAACCTGTTCCAGTGTTTCACCACCCTCATAGTAAAGAACTTGTTCTTGGTATCTAGCCTAAACCTACCCTGCTCTAGTTTAAAACCATTGCCCCTTGTCCTGTCGCTACGCACCCTTGTGAACGGTCCCTCCCCAGCTTTCCTGTAGCCCTTTTCAGGTACCAAAAAGTTGCTATAAGGTCTCCTCAGAGCCTTCTATTCTCCAGCCTGAACAATCCCAACTCTCTCAGCCTGTCCTCATAGCAGAGGTGCTCCTGATCATGTTTGTGGCCCTCCTTCAGACCCACTCTAACAAGTCCATGTCCTTGTGTTGAGGGCTCCACAGCTGGACACAGAGATCTCACCAGAGCAGAGGAGCAGAATCACCTCTCTCGACCTGTTGGCCACGCTGCTTTTGATGTAGCCCAGGATGTGACTGGCCTTCTGCGCTGCAAGCACATGTTGGTGGCTCATGTGCAGCTTTTCCTCCACCAATACCCCCAAGTCCTTCTCCATGGGGCTGCTTTCTAGCACATCATCCTCCAGCCTGTACTGATAATGAGGATTGTCCCAACCCAGGTGCAGGGCCTTACACTTGGCCTTGTTGAACTTCATTGAGGTTCACATGGGCCAACTTCTCCAGCTCATCCAGGTCCCTCTGGAGGACATCCTGTCGCTCTGGAGTGTCGACTGCAGCACTCAGCTTAGTGTCATCTGCAAACTTGCTGAGGGTGCACTTGATCACACTGTCTGTGTCATCGATGAAGATATTACAGAGCACTGGTCCCAGCACAGACCCCTGGGGGAAACCACTTGTCACCTGTCTCCATCTGGACATCGAGCCATTGACCACAACCCTCTGGGTGCGACCATCCAACAATTCCTTATGCACTGAACAGTCCACCCATCAAATCCCTATTTCTCCAATTTATAGAGGAGGATGTTGTGGAGGACTGTGTCAAACACCTTGCAGAAGTCCATATAGATGACATCCATTGCTCTTCCCTTGTCCACTGATGCAGTCACTCCAGTGTAGAAAGGCACTAAGCTGGTGAGGCAAGACTTGCCCTTAGTGAAGCCATGTTGGCTGTATTGAATCACCTCCTTGTCCTCCATTTTCCGTAGCAGAGCCTACAGGAGCATCTGTTCACTGATCTTCCCAGGCGCACTGGTGAGGCTGATCGGTTGGTTTTCCTTTCCTCAGAGTTTTCCTTTCTACCCTTTTTAAAGATGGGTGTAATATTTCCCTTCTGCCAGTCACCAGAGACTTCACCTGACTGCCACGATTTTTCAAGTATCATGGAGAGTGGCTTGGCAACTACATCAGCCAGTTCCCTCAGGACTGTGAGATATATACTCAGGTTCCTCAGCTGGTAACCAACTTGACCTTCTTTTGTAGTGGGAGTGATTTTGGCCACTTGGTCCCCATCCTGTGGTCCTTCATCTTGGGAGCTGTGAGGAGGGAGGTTGCCAGTGAGGATTGGGGCAAAAAAGGTATTGAAAACCTCAGTCTTCTCCCCATCTGCTCTTATTAGCTTGCCATCCATGCTCATCAATGGGGGTACACTTTCTTTAACCTTCCTTTTCTGGTTCATATACCTGTAGAAGCTGTTCTTACTGCTCTTTGCAGATCTTGCCAGATTTAGCTCCAGCCATGCCTTCCTGACACCATTCCTACACATTCAGGCAGCATCCCTGTACTCTTCCCAGGATACCTGTCTCTGCTTCCACTACCTCTGCAGTTCCTTCTTGCCCTTTAGTTTGTCCAAGTCTTGATTCAGCCATGCTGGTCTCTTCCCTTTCTTACCTGACTTCTTACACCTGGTGATCGAGAGCTCTTGTGCTCTATGGAAAGCATCCTTAAAATCTGCCACCTCTGTTCTACTCCCTTGTCCCTGAGAACTGCTTCCCAGGAGGTCCTATTGACTAACTCTCTGAAGAGCTGCAAGTCTGCTTTCCTAAAATTCTGGGTCCTGACTACGTTCCTCATCTGACTCATGTCCCTTAGGACCATGAACTTTATCAGTGCATGTCACTGCAGCCCAGGCTGCCTCCTATCTTGACATCCCTAATGAGCTCACCTGCAATGGTGACCATCAGGTCCAGTATCGCATCCTCTTGGGGTAGGTATGTCTATTTTGTGGCTTAAGATGTTATCATCGAGGCACTCTAGGAGTTTCCAGCATTGCCTGCAGCTCACCGTATTACTTTTCCAGCAGATGTCTGGGTCGTTGAAATCCCACAGCAGGCTGAGAGCCTGTGAGCGTGGTGCCTCCTGTAGCTGGAGTAAGAAGGCTTCATCAGTAGACTCCTCTTGATCAGGTGGCCTGTAGTATACACCAGCCACGAGGTTCCCCTTGTTGCCTTAGTCCCTAATCCCCACCCATAAGCTTTCAATGTGCTCTTGGCTATTCTTTAGGGATAGTTCTTCATCCTCTATCCACATGGGCAGGGCACGGCAAGTGCAAGTGGCTGCCAGGCTGAGCCAGCCCTTCACACAGGGTTTTCTAACCAAGAGCCTAGTGGAGACACTTTCCATGGTGCCTGCACTTGTCCTGAGATAAAATTGTAGAATCACGGAATCATAGAATGGCCTAGGCTGGAAGGGACCTTAAGGATCATCTAATCCAACCTCCCTGTCTTGGGCAGGGACGCCTCTCAACTAGATCAGGCTACTCAAGGCTCCATCCAACTTGGCCCTGAACACCTCCAGGGAGGGGACAGCCACAACATCTCTGGGCAATTTATTCCAAAGTCTTGCCACCTTCGTACTGAAGAATTTCTTCCTAAGATCTAATCTAAATCTATTCTCTTTCAACTTAAACCCATTTTCCCTTGTCCTATCAGTGGACACTCTTGTAAAAAGTTCCTCCCCAGCCTTCCTGTAGGTTCCCTTCAGGTATTGGAAGGCAGCTATTAGGTCCCCCTGAAGTCTCTTTTCAAGACTGAACAATCCCAGCTCCCGCAGCCTGTCCTCATAGCAGAGGTGCTCCAGCCCCTGGATCATCCCTGTGGCCTCCTCTGAACATGCTCCAACAGATCTACGTCCCTCTTATAGTGGGGGCACCAGAATTGGACACAGTGTTCGAGGTGGGGTCTCACAAGAGCAGAGTAAAGGGGGAGAAT